GGTGCTGTCATGATCAGTTTTTGGGACTGAAAAGGGGCTGAGAATGTCTGGTTTTAGCACTAGGTAGTGGAGGGAACAACCTCTTACACAAGAATAGAATAATGGAGTATCCATGCTAGCTTAATTAGGCATAGAAAAATGCTAATCATGATTTGACCTTGGTAATGATACTTAGACTTGATCTTAGGCTGAAAATTATCTAATCTCCCTCTCTAATAGGTGAATGACTAAGGCCTATGCATTTGAGTAGATTACATGTGCCTTGGCTCGGTTATAAGGATTGGCGCGAGCTAGGTGTGCACAGTCGGACTCGCGGCCTTGCTAGGGCTTGAGAATTTCTTGGTGAACTTATACACTTAGAAAACTTCTAAGTATCATACTATTAAGGATCAGCTAGGGTTAGGGCTCGAGAATACTCAGCGCGAGAGTAATGCGTGGCTCTGGGCATTAGCACGGCAAACGCGCGGCTAGGCACTGCGGTAGAGTTTAATGGTTCGGTTCGAATGACAATATTTCGAACATAATAATCGAATAATCTAACATACATAAATGATCATAAGGCACTTAAACACATGATTTCTCATAATCATGTAATAATAACACTTAAATCAAATAACTCAGAAAACTGAAAATTATCGGTTTCACTTTAAAGTCGAGCAAGTGAAATTGTTCTCATATTATAATTGATCGGGGCGTTACAGTTTCAGTTCTAAGTCCACCGACAAATGCAAACCGTTCTTTGAAATGATAAAGAGGAATAAAACATTCGAATGGACAAACGAGTACCAGAAGGCACTCGACTGAATCAAACATTCCCTCGTTCGGACATCGATCCTACAAAAACTGAACCTGGGGAGATGTTATTCCTCTACTGAAGTGTCACACAATCCGCTATAAGCGCCTTGCTTGTCCGTGAAGAAGACACATGTCATTATCCGGTCTATTATGTAAGTGCATGAAGCCGAAGTCTGTTACCCATCCATCGAGAAGCTGATATTCTCATTAGTAACTGCCTCACAAGACCTCGGACAGTATTTCCTCGAACATCAAATTACAGTACTGTTCGCGTACCCTATCAAGTTGATTCTTCACAGGCTGGATACATCCGGAAGATGATAAAGTGGGCCGTCGAGCTCGAACAATACGATATACAGTAACGGCCATTAAGGGTCAAGCGCTATCTGATATCATAGCTGAATTCACGCCCAGGGCCGAACCAGTACAAGACACGGAAACTTGGGAGATGTATATCGACTGATCCTCAACCTTGGATGGATCCAGAGGGGGAGTTGTCATGGTCAGCCCCCTAAAGAAGTTGTATTGTCATTCAATTTGATACTTATTTTATGCAACCAACAACGAGGCCCGAGGATGAATACGAAGCACTCCTGTCCGGACTTAACTTGGCCGAATTGATGAGTCTTTTAAGTCTGAGAGTTTATTTCGACTCCATGTTGTTGGTAAAACAGATTTCAGGGGAGTTCGAGATAAAGGAACCGCAACTGGTCCCCTATCTGAATCTCGGCCGCAAAAAGATGCAAAGGGCAAACATTAGACTAGAACATATCCCAAGGACCGAGAACGTTCAAGCGGATGCGTTGCTTCGTCTATCCTCGAGCAAGGGAACGGAGGAGATTGAGTATGTCTACACACGACACTAAGAGAGGCCGACCGTACAGGTTGAGTAGATAATGTCAGTCAAAAGTGCAACCGCTTGCCAAACCCTTGGATGGATGTATCCGATTCGGTCTTACCTGGAGACAGAAATGCTCCCGACCGACCCAAAGGAATCTAGATCGCTCCGAACCCATTCGGCGAGATATACCATTGTGGGCGGAACAATGTACAAAAGGTGTTATTCGGCCCCACTACTTAAATGTATTGATGCTGATGAGGCCGAACGGGTGATGAATGAAATTCACGAAAGAGTGTGCAGGAGCCATTCGAGAGGACAAGCTTTGGCACACAAAATCCTCAGACATGGATGTTATTGGCCTACTCTGAAAAATGATTCATCCAATTTAGCACGAAGATGTGAAAAGTGTCAAACGTTCGCCCCAAACCTAAAAAAGCCGGCCCAACCGCTCACGTTAATATTCAGTCCCTGGCCGTTTGTGAAAATGGGGGATTGATCTAGTCGGCCCACTGTCAACGGGCAAAAGGGGAGTCAAGTACGCGGTGGTACCAGTCGACTATTTTACCAAATGGGCGAAAGCGTAGCCTTTGGCTATTATCACCGAACACAAGATGATATATTTCTTGTGGAAATCCATTGTTTGTCAATTCGGTGTGCCTCATTCGATAGTTACCGGTAACGGACGATAGTTTGAAGGAAGATGTTCGATGCGTTCTGTGAGGAATTAAGAATTCGACATCACTTTTCCACCCCGTATGACCCCCAGTCAAACGGGCAGGTGGAAGCCGGGAATAAAATCATCAAACAAGGGTTGAAGTTGCGACGAGAGACCTCAAAAGGGGCCTGCTCGAAGAGTTATCTACAATATTGTGGGCGTACCGAACTACTGCGAGGTCAACAACCAGAGAGACGCCTTTTTCATAGGCGTACAGTTCGGAGGCGATGGTCCCGGTCGAAATCAGTTCGAAGACCTACTGGGTGGAAAATTTTGAAGAAGAAGCCAATACTGAGTCAAAGAACTGCGAGACCATGCCGAATTGAAGAATGCGGCTTTAAACGAGTGACGAAAAGTTACTTTAACACAAGAGTTAAATCACGACTATACAAACCGGGAGAACTTGTGCTGAAAAGAGTGACAGAACCGGATCTGGGCTCGTTGAGGCCAAAGTGGGAGGGCCCGTACTTAGAAGATACCGTACTCAGGAATGGGGCCTACCGATTGAAATACTTAGATGGAACTTCTATGATGTTGTAACGCCCTGTTGATATTTAAAGGAAATCCATGGCTTTTCCAAAAATCATAGTAAAATTTGAACTCATTTTTTGATTTTAAACATTTTCGGCGTTACTTATTCACTTTATAATGTAGTTCAAGTCGTGTCTGAACTAACGGGGATTCATTACCCGATTTTCACAAGGATATCTTTATTCAACATCACAATCATGTTCATAGACATCATAGGCAATGTGTCAATATAAACTAATTCATCAGGTTTCATAGCATGCAAATAAACCATCTCATTGGGTTTAAAAAACATTCCATCATGCCCAAAACATAATTCACAATTTTTCCAAAGTCTCATTGTTTGAAAAATAATAATAAGTTCAACATAATCATCAAGAAAGCAGAAGCATAAACGAATCATAAATGCAGACCGGCCACTCGTCTCCTCGTCGCCATGCCTGCCACCTGCTCAACCTGAAAAGACGGAGTAATGGGAGTGAGCACACCACGTGCTCACTACTATGCACATAAATCAAATATATATGACAGATAGGTAACGTCGCAGCATGAACATGAATCAATCAACATATCACATCTCTTAATCATATAATACTCATGTGCACATCTATCATTAGCCATTGGAGGACATACAACTCTCAACAATGGGAGTACATGCCGACGGACATACAGCTCACATCGGCATGGCCTATCATTATGCTAAGAGAGACTGCCTATCGTTAGGCACCGTCGAAGGACATACAGCTCACATCGATGGGGATAACCGTTCGAAGGACATACAGCTCACATCGAAGGTTACATGGTTCACACGCATACATTGATCATACCGTCCAACAAATATAAACAATTTATGGCATAGATATTTAAATAAAACCAACCTGGACACTTAAGCAGAAAAAATGATCGAACAACAGTGTAGGTTGAGAGCTCAGCTCGTCAGACACCTACATTTTTATCAAGATAGCCTTATAAATATACAACCTTGACACTTAAAATAAATCACGAAAATCCATACTTAGTCGAACATCATCGACTAAGTAATTTGTGGAATTTGTGGAGTTTGGAACACTTTGAACTTGACGACTACACTCGGAACAATCATTTAAAAACATAAAATAAATAGACTCAAAATGGGACCAGAAAACCAGAGATTGACCCTTAAATCAATTCCCACATAATAAACACAATTCTGCAAAATTAAGGACAAAGTGAAGGGTTTCTGGTTCAATATGCTACAAGATGAATTTTCCTTTGAAAAATTTTAACCACATGTTGAACATCATGAAAGACTCCAAATCTAAAAAATTCACTCAATTTTAACAAACCTATGATTTCATACAGATTTTCAAAGAAACAGGCCAAAACAACATGTAATCAGTCCACATAGCTATCATTCGAATTTTGATCTAAAAGTTTTATACAATGGACTATATCGTCGGAGAGTTCAACCCTCAAAATGTCAAGAAAAAAAGCCGAGTGTTCGATTTTTAACAACTTTTCAAAGAATCGGGACAAAATCACCATATCTCGGTTCGGGTACCTATACTTCGAGTTAAATTCTGAACTTTTAACTACATGCTCAACATGACAAAATACTCCAAAATTTAGAAAACCATATAATTTGGATGTGTCGATTACTAATCACCAATTTTTAAAGATTTATGGCATAAATCGAAAAATTCAGTTCATATAGCTGTAAGCCAAATTAAAATACGAAATTTTAACACAATACTCCCCTTTATAACAGCAGATGACCCTCAAAATTTCAAGTCATTTGGAGGGACGTACGATTTTAAATGATTTTTTAAAAATTCAGCTGCATGATCGACTTTAAAAATTCGTAACGGTTTCAAAACTTAAAGAAATTGACCAAGGCTTTGACCATTAAGCCAAGGACACACCAAAGTTCCAGAATCCACAATATTTCCACAAAACAAACTGAGATTCAATGGTTTCTTAATTAAACCATTCGAATCTCAAACAATTCCACATAATTTCAACAATTAATCACCAATACTCATGAAATAAACTCCAAGATCATCATAAAACATAATATATCAGAGGGATAGCCACCCTTTACCATACTTCAAGGAAAAGACTCGTGAAAAGCTGATCGGAAGGATGGCAAATGCTCTTCGGCGGCTATCGCGCAGCTCGTCGCGGTACTCGTGGCTGGTGCGATCGGAGGGCCATGGACGTTTGAATCCTGCTCATGGTGGATCGAAGATGGCGACCAACCAGACAGTGCGTGGCGCTATCCGTTCGCTGTGGTCCTCCTTGCATGCTTGTCGGCGGTGGCTTCCGTGCGCGGTTATGAATGCCGAGAGGAGGGGTTAGATTTTTGGGGCGATGGGTTTGATTGTTTTCTCTGGTTTTCTCCTTGCGTGAAAAGAGGGTGGAGAAGAGATGGAATTTCAGATTTGATAAGTTCGAGGGAGAGTATTTGGGCTTAAGTTATATGGCTAAAAAAATAGGAAAAATCATTTGATACTTACTACCAAATTTAATCCACACTTAAGAGCAATAAGGGGGTTCCATACTGTCAAAAGGGAGAGCATTAAGGCTGGGATCAATGCCCACAATTTGCTTGTGACTCTCTTTCAAAATGGCCAAGGTAAAACTTTAATTTTAAATGCTCATCATTTGATCAAGGAGTGGGGTGGGTTCGACTTAGGAAATGGACCGATTTATTGTCATAAGGGCCGAAATCAAGGGTTTAAAGGGCTGGACTGATTGACCCAAGGTCCGGTTCAATTGCTCGAGAATAAAATAACGAGAACGATATAAAAATAATCTTCACAATTAAACTGAAGATTCGAACAACGAACGACAAATAAAATCAGACTAGCATATATATATATATATATATATATATATAATCATATTATTCAATCAATAATATAATAATATGCAATTAAATAAGGCACAGGAAAAAAAATAAAAATATGCAAATAAATAAATAATCCAGAAAAATCTATATATTAAACGTGGTACTACAATCTATCCTCCTTAAATGATTTCCGTCCTCGAAAATTCTACAAGAACAGACAACTCATAAGAAGAACACATACATGGAGGAAATACAAATTTTGAGATTTGGATACTACTCCAACAAATCATAATAATCATATGACATGCAAAGTCAATCCATCTCACTTATGTACTGATAACAACTCGGCTTCAAGCCCCTAGGTAGACCTGGCTAATTGACTCTTATTTCAAACCCCAGAACCTATCTGGCTAATTAGCTATTATACGCCCCCAGCTTCAAGCCCCTAGGTAGACCCGGCTAACCGACTCTTATTTCAAGCCCCCAGAATTTACTCGGGTAATTAGTTATTATACGCCGTTAACCTAAGTTCATGAACGTTGGTATATAACATATCAGTATCTGGCTAATTGACTCTTATTTCAAGCCCCTAGATAAATTCTCACAGTTCAAAATTGGACCACCGGCCTATGATCATGCTTATAAGAACTATACTACCACATGGTTATACAGAATAAACTATGGTATAGAACCCCTACTTCAGGGGTCAATTCGTGGCATCAAGCTTCAGTATCGTGCCCGGGTCACGCTGAAAACTTGCCCATTGCCCCATCATGAACCGTGCGTCTCCGTCAGAACAACCGACACGGTGTTCCATGCTAACATTCTAACTCATAACACTATCCCCTTCGAAGTTTCAATCCCTACGAAGCATACATAGTCCCAAATCGAGACTCGAGACTCTGCCCTACATCAATGCAGAACCTTAAATTTGCCAACTCAAGAAACATCCCTCATATGGCATAGGAACTAATCGACAAGTCTCCCTTAATTGAGAATTATTGATTAGGGAATTCATACATCGGTTCAGTGAAAATTGGAACTCTCAGTTCAAAGCTCGGGAGGAAGGTTCAAAGGAGAATTTATTATTTGACACGGTGAACCCGCCATACAAACTAAAAAAAGAATCAATTGTTCGATGTTAGTGCACTGTCACTCGAGAGGAGGCACACTCGCTGGCGCTGCATAAGCGGGGCGCTGGGAGGTGTGCGTGCACCTATTCGGAGACCAACTGTAAGGTCGAGGTTTACCACATACTGTGGCATGGGGAGTTCGTGCATTCGGTGATGGCGGCTGCAGCTCGCGTGTGAGTCGACGGTCGGCTGCGCGCTAGCCTCGCGTCTCACAGCACGGGCGTGCGTGCTCGGCCACCACTTCGTGTGGCTACACCCAGCCAGAGCCGGCCTTCGGTTCGAGGTACTGAAACGAAATTCTCTAATTCATGGTTAATAGTTTCCAATGTAAACGGAAGGAAAAAAGGTTTTTCATAAAACTTTCAGACAACGAAAATTTAAGGTTTAATCAAAAATAATTTTCCCGTATCATTTAGGTATAAAACAACTTCGACAGTTTCAAGGGTTTCAAATCATAACGTGATATAAACTGAGTTCCAAGTCCACCACCTTTCCCCGATCAATACAATCTCAAGCGAACGTATAACAATAGAGATAGGAAAAAAAATTCCCAAACAGAACGAATATCGGCTTCTCAGCCAAGAATGACCCCAATTCAGCAATCATTGTCGAACAACGAAATGGTTAGCTTTCTTGACTCTTCCGACTAACAGTGTTGGCCGCCACGTTAGTTCTTACTCAGGTAGCTAATTGTGCCAACAGTCCTAAACGAGCTCAAATTCTACGCGACTAAGATTTTCACGATTCTGGATCTCGTCGCAAAGCCTCATTTGGCATGTTGGACCCTCTTTATCTTCCGTTGGTCGAACTGGTCCTAACTACTTGGTAGCGGTTGATCACCCTTCGTCATCAGTCGGTTGACTCGTCCCGATCGTGTCTCGAAAATAAATCAGGACGTAATCGATAAAGATGATGACAAATCGATCCGATATGAATGGAATACCTAGTCCGAATGGCATAACCACAACCGAAAGAATGATATAAGACAAGCGGAAAACTGAAAGTACTCGTCCTAATTAATACACAAAGTTGCAAAACTTGAACTCGAAACTCCAAACGAACCAAAACAAAAACTAGAGTTTTTAACTGATTGCAAAAGTTTAAGAAAAACAAAGGATTACTCCCGAAACTCCGAAGGAAATAAAAAGAACGAGAGTTTTCAAAGGCTATGATGAACAAAATTCAAGAACGAAGACAGCTCTGCACCTCACGATGTGCTTGCACCAGGCTTGACTACCCTCCTTAAAAGATCCTTCATAATCCTCAACACGCGGGCATCACACTCGACTCAATACCCGGAAGATAATTTTGTCGTCTCCTTCAAGATTGAAGTGTCGCCTCGCAGTTGTTTGTCCTATTTTTGTTACATTTTTCGTGCGTGTTTTACTTTTCTTTTTCTCCCGTTTTAGGTCGTTTCTTTCGTTTTTAGTCCGTTTCGTATTTTATTGTGTTTTCCTTCATTTTGAGTCTTTAGGTGTTTTTCGTTTGTTTTTCTGGTTTTCTTCCTCTTTTGTCATTTATGGTGTGTAGGTCGGGAGCTTCGTGTGAATTTTCTCAACAAGAAAAATTAGTTTAGAGAGCATAATTGAATATATGAATTCTTTACAAAGCGTATCAAAAAATAGAACTCAATTCCGATTTCGAACGAGCCCAAACGAGCCCGAAGCGTAAAGTCATGCAGTGCAGCCAATGTCACGGCTCGCAGCCAAAGTCATGACTCGCGAATTTAACAGAGCCTCCCAGCGACCCCACGACCCGCAGACTCGTGACTCACGAGTCAACTCGCGCTTCGCGACCTGTTCGACCCTGTTTTTATTTTTGCTTGTTTTTTCTCGTTTTTGCCCCATCCGATACCTATGTGATTGATATGCGCGATTTCAATGTAATTCTTGGCATGGACTGGCTCACTCGTCATCGAGCCGACATCCGGTTCCAGGAGTGGGAAGTTACTCTCTATTCAGATGGTGAACAGCCTATCTTATTCTATAGGGTGAAGTCGAGGACTGTGCCTCGAGTCATCTCTTCTCTCAAAGCTATGAAGAGTGTGTCGAAGGGTAGCTGTCAAGGTTACCTAGTGAGCTTGGTGAATGAGGATACCGAGCGGACTCCGGAGAGGGTCTCGATTGTTTGCGAGTACTTTGATGTATTTCTAGAGCAGTTGCCAGGAGGACCGTCGGATCGCCAGGTCGACTTTACTATCGGCTTAGTACCTGGAGCTTGTCCCGTGTCAAAGGCACCCTACCGTATGGAGCCGAAGGAGTTGTGTAACGCCCCACTTTTATTTGCCGAAATTCAGAATAAATTTTTCAAAATTTATTTCAAAATACTTGAGGCGCTACTAATTTTCAAAAACTATTTCAACCATGTCATATATGCAACTCCCAACGAGTTCAATAATAAAAAATAATCAACCCCCAAACCGGGTTCAATAATCATAAATAGTCAACACCCAAACCGGGTTCATAAATGACATCAACTCCCAAAATTGGGTTCATCAAATCCATAAATACTAGGGAGTACACTCCCTATCAATAATCTGAAATCCAATGTATATCAGACGTGCATAAATAATACTAGCAGTTCAAACAACGGAAACAATCATTAAAATGACCACAACTTGCCTCCCTATGTCGTGCCTGCAAAACTAACCTGCATCCATGAAGAGCAGGTGGGGATGAGCACAATAGGAAAATCGAGGTGCTCACCACTATGCAATAAACATTTACGTATCAAACTGTAACGCCCCACTTTATTTTGAAAGATTTATCGAATTTATTTAATAGAAACCACAATAAATTTTTATTTTACAAACATTAATGTACTTAAAAACTCAGTGGGCGCTACTCAACCTACCAAAAGCTTTTATCCAAAAATGCTAACACAACAAATAAAGGCAGCATGCACGAATAATAAACCATAAACCAATCTAGCATTCATTAGGTTCCAATTCATAAAAGATAATTCATAATTCCATGTTCCGAAATGACATAACTACAATATCCAAATTCAACATGAGTTCATGAACTAAGCGGAAGCAAGGTTAATAAAGCAATAATAAATAATATAACCACCACTCGTCATCTCGTCTCGTCACCCGCCAGCTGCTTAACCTGCATCCGTGAAGAGCAGGTGGGAGTGAGTACAGTTAAATATCGTACTCACACTATGCATATGAATAACATAATAATGGTATGGTCGCAGCATGAACATAAACAATGATCACAACATGTCTCATCTCCTAATCAAAATCACACCATTTAACCTTACTCATGTGCACATCTATCGCTAGCCGCAGAACGGGGATTCATTACCCGAAGGCGGGAGTACGTGCCACTGTAACGGACACGGCCTTCCATATGGGCTTACGTACCTCACAAGGGCACGGCCATATCAGGACTTAAAGGAGATTGCCACACAAGGGCACCGTACCGTAACTCGACGGGGACAACCGTACCGACGGCCGTAACAGCTCACATCGATAGGCTACATGTTCATTTTCATACATAGATCACACCAAATTTGCAACATGATTAAAATCAAACATATGCATAGATAATTTTTGAATAACAACCCACCTGGATTTGGACTGATGACAGTAATTCAGAATAGTCGTAGGTTGAGGCCTGACTCCTCAAACACCTACATTATGTCAAGATCCTACAATCAATATCGTGACTAAATCGGAAAACACAAAACAGACCTAGTCGAACTTGTTTCGACTAAGTAGTTCGTGAAGTCCTGTGGATGTTGGAACACTAAGACTCGGCACTAAACTCGACCAAACCACATATGAGAGTTCACATAAATCCATCTAAGGATTGACCAAGTCAAACTCACATCAAAACGAAAAGCAAGTCGATTCCCAACTTTCATAAAAATCATGTTCGGAAATAGAAATCATTTAATCGCATGAAAATAGATGGTCAAGCTACCCTACGAGTTAAGCTCTGAAAATTTACCCAAAATTTCATCTCCCGGAAACATGTAAAATCACAAAGTTTCAGCTTTAAACTCGAAATATCCTATTTTATAAAATTCAAACAGTAATTCAGCAAAAAGGGCACATTAATCCATACTCAGACTTAATGAATGAATCTGAACCTGAAAATTTTACACAACAACATTCAGTATGTCAAAGCTCACTTATAAAAATTCCAGCTTTAAATGATAACTACTGCTATTTTTAAAAATTCAAACGAGCAACAGCAGTTTATCGAATTTAAATTTAAACTGAATCGAAACAGACACTAAAAATTCCCATATTTTACAAACATGATCAAACACCTAAAATATGACTCTCAGCAAAATTTCAGAATTTTTCATGCAGTAACCGATTTTTAAAAATTCAAACAACATTTCTGCCGAATCAATAAATAAAATATTATCCATATCAAATCAACTCCAAAAATTCCAAAAATTTAACACAACACATATAAGTCACAGAGGCACGACATATTCGAATTTCAGCTCATTTCAGTCAAGCATGAATTTATTATGCATTTAGCAATATTCTGGACAGAATACAAATTAATTATTAAAAATAGCTACAGGTCTCGAAAAATTATGAAAATTTTACACAAGGCAGGAAATGAACAGATAACACATCCCTCAAAATTTCACATCGTTTCAAGCAGCGAGCTATTTTTAAAAATTCAAACACCAAAATAGACAATTTAACAATTAATTCATAACACGAAATTTCTCGTCCGAGGCCTTCCCATAAGGCCAAGGACTCGACTTTGTTCCAATATCCACTGACTTACACGAGTTTCGAGGCCTCGTTCGATTTCTCATAATCGAAGAGATCCCGAACATATATACGATTACACATAAAATCATCTCTTTCACATAAATTCATGTCGAACCCATTAATCGCAACATATTCACATCTCGTAAATCAAATCGCAAGGGCACATCACGTCATTTAAAACACGATAAGCAACTAACATATAAACGATTTAAACGAGACGGGATCGACTAGGTACCGTTCTCGGGAAAACTCGAAAAACGGAAACGAAAAAGACGAACGGGGATGAAGGGCTCGACGGATTCTCGCGTCTCGCCGGGAAAGAAGGTGCAGCAGCGGCTATTCTCGACTGCTCGGTTGCTGCGGCGCTCGATGCTTGAGACGAGGAGCAGCTCGCGGCGGCACAAAGCGGCGGCACGGGCTCAACGGCTGGCTCGCGGAAGAGGAGCAGGCTTGACGCGGCCGTAGGGCCTCGTTGGTCGTCGGTAGAGGGGCAGCAGGGTCGCCGGAGGGGAAGTCTCGTCTGCTTGCAAGTAGAGGGCTGCAGCGATGGAGGGCTTGCAGGCGCCGGTCGTGGAGGACTCGCCGGAGGGAGGGCCTGCGCGAACAGAGCAGCAGCGATGGGGGCTTGCAAAGGAGTTACAGGCGCTCGTCGGAGGAGAGCTCGACGCGATGGTGTTGATGATGATGGGTGATCAGATCACAAGGGGAAAGAGGGATAGTGACGGGATTTCGCAACAGACGAAGCGAAGAGGATGAACAGAAAAAAAAAACGAGGGATTTGTCTTCTCTGTACGCGATCGAATTTTGACGAGGAAGGAAGTGACTGCGGGCTTAGGTTCCTTCTACCGAGCGTGAGAGTTAGACAAATAATAGATTAGGGTTAGGAATATTTCTCTTCAAGATAACACAACTCACGCGTGAAAGAAAAAAGAGGAGAAAATCTGTCGGGCCGGGCCCGAGAAGTTGGGTCAAATGGATTTTTGGGCCGGTTGGGACATTAAATCGGCTCACGGGCTCGATTAAAAATTTAAACGGACATTTTTCGGGCCCAATTTCGGTTCCAACGAAAATCCTCGGGCTCGATTTCGAATGTAAACACGCGATAAAATAATCCGAACAATATATATATTTATATTCTCATATTTTTAATTACACATTAATAATCACAAAAATTCAATTAAACAATTACACATTTAGCATTTAATCACATTTGACAATTATTAAATATTATGGCATTCAAGAAAAATAAATATAAATATTGTCACAGAAATAACAATAATAATAATAATAATATATCCCAAATAATCCACAAATAAACGGGGCATTACACAAATGGTAACGAAGAAAGTACGATCACAGCATGTATATGAATCAATCCAAGTATCCCAAGTTTCATCGTAAATTCACAGTGTTCAGACTCATGTGCACATCTATACCAATAGACTACTGTCGGTAGATGTATCGAAGGCCCTCGCTCGGGTCATGCTTCGAATGCCCCATGGGCTCTACATCTATGCCCTTCGGTCCTACACACCGAATCGCCCCACGGGCTTCCATCGATGCCCAACAGTAGGAGTAACCCGTCGGGTTTATTTTCATAAATACGGGACAACCGTTCGACGGCCGGTACAGCTCACATCGAAGGCTACATGATTCGTAAGCACACATTGATCATATCAAGTAAAGTAAACCATTTATTGCATAGACAATTTTTAAATAAAACCCACCTGGAAATCGGAATGGGAAAACACACAAGTAGTGGGACGTAGGTCGAGGGCTCAACTCCTCAAATACCTACATTTAATCAAGATAATTTTATAAATATATTATCTTGATATTTACAAGTATTAAATACTCACTCTTAATCACAATAATGATTAAGGGATTTTATCGGAATTTTTCGTGGACTTGGAACTCTCAAATTTTTAAAAGAAAAGACTCGGAGATTAAAAATAGAGTCTCGAGACTTAAAATAATTTTTCCCAAATTTTGTTTCTCATTTGAAAATATTTTTAGAATTGAAATCGGTACAAAAAACGGACTCCGGTATAAAAAATTGGCTAAAGTACACAAATGTAATTGCTTCTCCAACTAATTACAGCAATACGATCCATTGAAACAAATTACCCAAAGACGACTAGTTAACCTTTTTCCCCTTAAATTGGTTATCTCTTTCTCTTTCTTCAATAATATACTCTCTCTCATATGCTCTCGATATTTTCCATTCCCTGTTTCCCTCTCTTTTCATTTCCTTTCTTAAACTCAATCTCTCTCTTCAACAAATTTTGTCCTGCGAAATAAACTACAAATAAAATATTTGTCAATATAAAAAATAATAAAAAATATCAGAATAGAGAAATAATGTTCTAAAATAAAAAAATACTTATATTTCTCAAATAAACTATCATTAATAAAATAAATAAACCTCAAATAAACTATCAATAAACTTTTGATTTATTAATTTAAATCTACTTACATTTTCTTTTTATAAACTTTTTGTATATTTTAAGTTTATCTTAAGTTTATTGCAACTCTTAAATATTTATTGAAAACTAATTTAAACTTTTGATTTATCTTAAGTTTATTATATATTTATTTACACTAAATCACAAAATTATAAATAATTAAATAATGTTCTAAAATAAAAAAATACTTATATTCCTCAAATAAACTTTCATTAATAAAATAAATAAACCTCAAATAAACTATCAATAAACTTGTTATTTATTAATTTAAATCTACTTACGTTTTCTTTTTATACACTTTTTGTTTATTTTAAGTTTATCTTAAGTTTATTGCAACTCTTAAATATTTACTGAAAACTAATTTAAACTTTTTCCCTTTGATTTATCTTAAGTTTATTATATATTTATTTATACTAAATCACGAAATTATAAATAAATAAAAAATCAAATGCAAAAATAAACTTAATATAAACTACAAATAAGATTAAAAAAAACAATTAATAAACATAATCAAATCATCGATAAAACATCAATTTAACTCTCAAAATCCTTCAAAAACACAAATATATACACCTTGTACTCACCCGAACTCAAGATTCGATCAAAAATTTCAATCATGGTAACAATTTTTAAGTCTTTCAAATACTAAAGGAAAATTGAGCATAAATTAAAAACAAATCCCAGCAACTCATAAATCGAAAATCAATGAAATTTCTACAACAAAAGAAAAAAAAAATTGCTAAACCCTAAATTACCAAACCACAAATTTAATCTCAAGGTTGTTACGTGTTGAGCATCAAGAAGGCGGGCGACACTGACAGAGGGAGGAAGGAGCCGGACATATATCTCGAATCGAAGGTGATGTTGGCGACGGTTAGGATAGCGCTAAGGATGCAAACGTCCCGCCGGTGGTGCGTGGCGAAGCCGGAGAAGCTCTTGTGACGTCGGATCCGTTGACAATCGTCAACAAGTCAGACCTTATGGCGTGCGTTGTTGACGATGGGCGTGTTTCCGTTTCTTCGACTCTGCTGGAAACAAATGAGTTGGGGGAGAGGAATAATAGATGTAATTTTAATATTGATAAAGCTGGAATTAAAATATTAAAAAATTCGTAAATCTAACTTAAGGGGGGTGTGATGTGCGATTGTTTTTTTTATCTCGTTAAATGGGCAATCTCGAAAGTTCCGCTCGTGCCATGGGTAATTAACTCTAAAAAATTTGGCTTAAAAACTGATTTGGGCCGCACTGGAAAATCTGCCACAAAATGGGCCTATACACGCGAATTGGGCCGCAATATCAGGGCCTGCTCAATGTGTTGGACGCGGGCTGGGGAACGGGCTTCGCGGGCTGTGGCTGCTGAGTGATGTCGGGCCGCGCGCGGGCTGACTTCGGGCCACACGGCCCACGCGCCTAGGGATTAATCCTGGGCTGGGCGAAAATAATTAAAAAGAAAGCTAGGAATGGGTTTCGAACTCGGGACCAATGGCACGAAAATAGCATAGCACACCACTGCACCATCTCGGTTGGTTGTGACTTAAAATAAAAATAATAGCTACTAAAATTAAAACAGAAGCCTGCTATGGAAACTCAAATTCAAACAGAAGGACAGCGAGCAGGGGCTGCGAAAAAAATTTACAGAGCTGCTACAAACTTCGACTGAATTCAACGACCACATATCCAACGACAACCGGGGTTCGAGAACTCAATAAATTCACGAAAATCACAATTCACAGAATTCAAAAATAGTTACAAAAAAATCGGGTTTAAAAGAGTCAAATAACGGAACAACATGCTAGGCTCGAATGACACAAACACAACGAGACGACCCGGAAAAACACAACGAGACTCTGAATCTTATATGAATAATTACAGCAACATCATGAGTCGATTTTTACAAGACGAGAGTTTCGATTTTCCACGAAATTTCATTATTCACAATAATGAATAATACGAACCAATAATCAACGAAAAACGATTCCACGAGCTCGATTGAACCAACAATGATATACGACACAAAAATAAAAATCAGGGAGCTCGAAAAAGGTTACCCGTCTTCGGAAATTTCGAGATCGGAAAACGGGACGGAGGACGGGAAACGAACGGAACTCAACTGGTTCTTAGAACTCCTCGAAGGTGCTGCTCGGAAACTCGGCGACGGACGGAGTCTGAGGCTCGGCAACCAACGGCGGCGAACAGGGGATGAACTCGCCGGAAACTGCGACAGGAATTTCACCGAAACTGGAGCTGAGCGAGAGAGATATGGATAAAAGGAATGAAGGGAAATCTGGCTTGACCGAGTATAAATCGAGAGAGAGAACGAAGAACGACTTATCTGATTAATAGATGTGGGAATGAATCGAAAGTGAGGAAAATGTCACGAACAAATCGGAACAAAATTTTGAATTGTTGATACGGAGCGACTTGGTCACGCGAAGGAGAAAGGGAGAAAGGAATCTGCCGATTGAATTCTCACGGGCCAAGGTGTATAATCACTTTGGGCTGAGGTTATTTAATACATTGGGCCAGGATGATTATATCATTCGGGCTAACTTACAACTGAAAATTGGGTCAAAACATAATTGGCTGAAAATAATTCGATTTGGGCTAGATTATCGGGTTCGCGAGTTCGATTCAATAAAACGAATTGGCTCTCGGTCCGACTACGTAGAAGTAATTACAGATTTCTCGGGCTCCATAAATTAAATCGCACAATTAAATAAACCAACCAAACATATATAATATATATTGATAATACACAATTTAGATTTTAAGAAACTAATGATAATATTAGTAAAAATACAATTACACATTTTTTTTTAAATAATAACATTTAGGCAATTTGACAAATAAATCACATTCGACAATTAATAATTTAGCATTCAATAAACAATAATAATAGCAATTAAATATAAGTAATAATAATAATAATAATAATAATAATAATAATAATAATAATAATAATAATAATAATAAATCCTCAAAAATTCCAAAGTCAAACGGGGCATTACAAGCTGCAATAGCTTAAGTCCCAGATCCAGGAATTACTCAGTCTTGGCTTTGTCCGGCCGAGTGTATCTCCGCGGGGAGCGCCCGTCCTTTTCGTCAAGAAGAAAGATGCGTCGATGCGAATGTGCATTGACTATCGTGATTTGAACAACCTCACCGTTAAGAACAAGTACCTTCTTCCCCACATCGAGGATCTCTTTGACTAGCTGAGGGGAGCCAGCGTGTTCTCTAAGATCGATTTGGGGTCTGGCTTCCATCAGTTAAAGATCAGCGAGTCCGATATTTCCAAAACCGCGTTCCGAACCTGCTACGGACATTATGAGTTTGTGGTGATGCCGTTCGGGTTAAGCAATGCTTCGGAGATTTTCATGGACCTTATGAATAGGGTCTTCTATCCATATCTGGACCAGTTTGTCATTGTGTTCATTGACGACATTCTGGTGTACTCTCGGGACATTGACCAGCACAAGGAGCATTTGAGGATTGTGCTAGAGACCCTTCGCCGCGAGAAGCTTTATGCTAAGTTTTTGAAGTGCGTGTTCTGGCTAGACCAAGTGGCATTCCTTGGCCATATCGTGACCGCTAGAGGCATTGAGGTAGACCCCGACAAGATAGAAGCCGTAAGCAAGTGGAAGACTCCGAAGAATGCGAGTGACATCTGTAGTTTCCTGGGGTGAGCAGGATACTACTGGCGTTTCATCGAGGGCATCTCGAAGGTGGCCCAACCCCTAACCAATCTGACGAAGAAGGCAGCGAGATTTGTATGGAGCCCCCAGTGCGAGGCCAGTTTCCAAGAATTGAAGGGGAGACTGAATACCGCACCCGTATTGTCTATTCCTGACCCGACTTTAGAGTTCACGATCTATAGTGACGCTTCGAAGATGGGTTTAGGCTGCGTGCTGATACAACAAGGGAATGTAGTGGCTTATGCGTCGAGGCAGCTGAAGCCTCACGAGAAAAATTACTCCACTCATGATCTGGAGTTAGCCGCGGTGGTCCACGCACTGAAGATCTGGAGGCATTACCTTTACAGAGGGAAGTGCGAGATTTTCACGGACCATAAGAGCTTGAAGTATATCTTCACTCAGAAGGAGTTGAACATGCGGCAGAGGAGATGGTTGGAGTTGGTCAAGGACTACAACTGCAAGATTAGCTACCATCTCGGGAAGGCTAATGTAGTCGCCGACGCCCTTAATTGGAGAAGTCATTGCCAGCTATCTTGTCTATTCACAAGGCAGGAAGTGTTAGTTCGGGAGTTCGAGCGGCTACAACTAGAGGCGGTGAAGTCGACTTCGACAGCCAGTGGTGTTTTGGCAGCCTTGGTTGTGGGACCGACTCTTCGCGAGAGGATAGTCGCTAAGCAACCGAATGATCGATTCTTATGTCGGATGAAGGAGTTGATGGAGGCCGGCAAGGTTGGCGGATTCTGCAACACCCCGCTACTTAGGGCCAATTTTTCGCAAATCTTTACTTTCGAAAACGCTTATAAATTTTTCGAAATCGTGTGCAAACTAACTCGGGATGCCGCTAAAACATTTCTGCTTTAAAATCCGTTTTATTTAAACTAGGTCTATTGGCTGGTTTAGACTTAAAGAAAATCAGATTTTAATAGTTTATCAAATCAAGCATGTAAGACCGAACCCGTTCGTACTGGCGAACTAGGTAAAACTTTTAAAATCTAAAACACCATCATGCAAGTTTGAAATAAAACGTAGCGGAAGTCTGAAAATGTGTGGATTCGGCTCGCTGTGCCGAATCCACGACCACAACCACCACAGCTGGACTCACGTCTGCCCACCGACCCTGCCATCTGAAAATATAAAGTGGGGGTGAGTACGGTCCACTTGCACCCCATAAAAACCCATTCTAAGGTAAACAACAATAATAATAATGATATCACAGTATTGGTATGCGTAAGTAAACTGAAATCTCCCGGACACTGCGGCCGGTAACTCCCGGACACTCTGGCTGGTAATTGTAATCTTCCGGACACTCTGGCCGGTATCATGTGCACACTCTGATGGCATATTTAAGGCGAACTGGGCCACCACCAGAACTTAGGGAAGGACAACTCGGCCTTAACCCCAAGCGATAAAACTCATACACATACCTGAACATGATATCGACTATTATACTCAATGTATAACCCAGACTGGGTCCCCACCTGATCTGCTTTGAAAATACGTAAGTGCGGCTGTGCTGGTAGCTGACTCCTCAAGCTACATAAAAATATAAGCAAACAAATATACTAAGTACTATGCTCGTCATATGCTCAATAATATGCTAAGATGCTCTACTCTATCAGATTACTCATCTCGTCATATGCTCAACAATATGCTAAGATGCTCTACTCTATCAGATTACTCATCCGGATAAAAAGGCACGCTCTATGGATTTGCTAAAATAATACTGACTCCGGGAAAATAGACTGATATGCTTAATTGATCAGGTTTGGCTCGGAAAATTACTTAATTTTCGGAATAAGACTCGGACCAGAAATCTCGAACCAAAACTGACTCGAACCGCCGGCTAAACCAGCCAGTTCGGTAACTGGCTGAACTGGGTCGGGCTGAACCAGACCGGGTTGGACCGCCGGGTCACTCTGGACCGGGTGGTCACAGGCTGCATGGACTGGCCAGGATCGGTCCCGCGCAGGGCCTACTGGTGCCCTGGCGCGGCGCTAGGCACAGCTGGGTGCGACCGGGCCTCGGTGCTGGGCGCTACTAGGCGCTGACAGGCACAACCAGGCTCTGCTGGCACAGCTCTGGCACGGCTGGATGCCACTCGGGTGCTACTGGGCACAACCGAGGTCGACTGGATGCTGGGGAGTGCGACTGGGCACCAAGACCTCGCTCGCTGGCACGGACAGGCGCTGTTGGGCGCTGTCGCATGCGCTGGGGGCTGAAGTGCCTCGCGTGCGCTAATGCAGGGCACGG